ACACCCACCACATACCAACACTACCCACCACACCACCATACACTGCCAAGTCTCACCATCAAGGGACACGGTTAAGGTGCTCTTGGTCTGGAAGAATCTGCGAGAGGCGAGATCGGAGGTGTAAACCAAGTACTCTCCTGAAGCTGGAAGAGTTGGGGAGGGCAGGGTGTCGCAGTAGGAGACGTTGCACACGCACACGAAGGAGGTGCTGTCAAACACTCTAGGGATGCAGGGTAGCTGTTCCTCGGCCAGCATACCCTCACCTGGGTGGAGTGAGAGATGGAAGAGGATATAATGATTGTAAATTAAAATGTCAGTTATTCTGAAAATGTTAATTTTAGTAATGATGATAATGTATAGTAGACGAAAAAGAGAAAGATACATGGAAATGAAGAACAGTAGAAACTAATATAGCGAAGAGGATGAGCAGTGAACAATGATTAGTAAAATTAATTGTAATTATGATATATACGTGTAGAAAGGCAAGATAGTCATAATAATAATTACAAAAATATCAATAATGCTGCCACAACTACTATTGTTACTTTTGTTTATAATTATAGTAATAATAACTCTCTCTCTTCGCTCTCTTAATCTTATGTATACTAGAGTCATGGTTAATAATGTGTTTGCACTGGAGTTCGACCAAAATTCCCGTCAGCTATATTGATTTGAAGCATCTCGCCTCATACTCTACATTGATTATCTGGTAAATGTGTCACTACCACTCACCTGGTGACTCTCAAATCCAATTACTACTCGGATGAAGCCTCGCAGCCGTGTGATTGATATTTAGGCGCCATTATAATCAGTTTCTATATTTGGGGCACCACAAAGGAGCAGAATCTAATGGTTAACTGCGTGACTTTAAAATCAGCCATAGTTATCAAATACTAATGGAGTTTAGCACCAGCAACGTCATCTATCGGTAAGTGGGCTATGATATGATAGTATATTGAATGTAATATCAGCTGTATAATGAAGATCATATTAGAGGGTAATAAAGGCCTGTGATCGGGTACGCGAGGATTCTTGGCCATAGGAGGTTGGTACCCTGTGTCACCCCTTCATCAGAGGCCAACCTTTTTTGATGTTGTCCTCCCCAAGTGGTAACCAATTTTTGCCAAGAGAGAGAGCGAGAAATAATATATATCATTTTCACTTGCATTTATTTACCATTTTGTATTGTAATATAATTTAAGATATAGTTTTCCATTCAGAAAAAAATTACTTTTTATTAAACTAATTTAAGGAAAATAATAAATTAAAGGATCATAGGTATAATTATGAATGTTTTGGTGATTTAGTGACTTGACTGCTGTTGTACTTTATCTGCTATCAGCTGAAATCTTGGCATCAGCCGACTTTTCTTTGATTTGATTAAAAATAGAACGGAGAACCTCTCCCATACATATGTTGTTGGCATCTGTACGAACGTGGTTGTCACCTGCTCGTCCAACTCCTCCTAGTCTGAAATAACCAACAGTTTACACAGAAATACATGGTGTGTGTTAATGTCTTGAAGGCTGTGTTTTAAGCGTAATCTGTCCGGAGGCCCAATAGAGCTTCAGAATGGTTAACCCCATCATCAGCAAATTGATTAAGAACCCACATGTTGGAGTACAGGTGTTCGCTCTCACTCTATGGGAAATACACGTTGAGATTTTCCTGAATCAAGGCAAGATGATTGACGACCAGGCGGGACATTCGCTTCTCCAATGTCTTCTCTTCTGCTGCCTGCACCCCGTGTTCCCAGCCACATTTTCTCACAGTTATCAAAAGTCGGGAATCAGAAAAAGTGTTCTTTTCTTCTTTGGCTCTCCACCCACTTTTGCACCTGCAGTTTGAATTCATTTATTATTCCCATTGTTGTGAAAATATCACGACCTTTGCCTTGGAGACTGATGTTGAGTTTGTTCAAATGATTAAGAACTAAGGTCGTCTATGACAACTTTGCCAGCCAAAAGTTATCCTGACATTTAACTGCCATGGTGTTTGTTTCCTTTGTAAAAAAAAAAAACACGCAACTGTTCTCTCAGTGCAAACGTTCAGTTCAGAACCTTCCTACGGAATAACCGCTTCGGCATGAAAGAGCAGTGTGGTGAAGTTGGCTTCCATATCTCTGCACAACTCACCGAGAAGATGTCATCGAGAAGATGCTCTAAATCATTCTTCTCACTAGCTGTTCCAGTCTCTTTCAGTCGCAACACCATTGATTGCTCCAACCATTGCATTTCGACCATTCAATTCTCTCTTCAATCATAAAATAATACAGTTTATGGAAAATGTTCCCCGCTGTTATTTCAACCCCTAATTGGAGGCAGCACAAGTAGTGTTCAGCTATGGTCTTAGACTAAATCTGGAAAACGACAGTACACAATCAGCTGGACATCCCCTCCCACATCTGTCGTTTCGTCCAGCTTTGTGATATATCAACAAGCCGTGAGAAATAGATCGAAACGCTAACTTACCTACTTTCTCCACGACAGTCAACTGGGCACAGACTTTGAAATTTAAAACTAAATCCACCTCCCAGTACACTCTTCTCATTGGTTGGCGTTTCAAATATTACGGCTGACGTCATGATTCCAGAGAAACAATACGGGCGACACACATTCACACCTGTCTCCATCCTTCCAAGTCTCGTCCATCCCTTCAACCACCCCAAGACTGCCATCCACCCCAAACAAAATCTCGTCCACCCAAGTTGAATAGCACTGCCCTACATGCAACATCCTAGACTTAGCAACTCACAGGATATGCTCAGGCCAAGATAACCTTTTAGAGGGCAAAGTATCCCCTAACTATTTTAATCTGGCTAACGCTAGACGATTTTGTTCAGCCAAAGGGTTGAAGAACAATAGCTTTACTGAAACCACACTTGATGTAACACTTATTATTTGTGTTTATATTTTATTGTATGACTTAATTTGCATGGATACAGGTATTGTACAAAATATGTCACGTATAATTTATTCCATATCCGGGAGATATTTCAAAAGATATCGCATAAAATATTTCGCGCGGTAGATGTTTCATAAGCCACCGGGTTAAAGAATGTTCGCTCTTCATTTTTTGTGCTTTAAATGTTCCTTCACAAAACCCAAAGTGTGATTTTTAGTATTTTTTATGCACAAAGCACCCTCCCACCCACCGACAGGATTACATCCAGAATCGTCTCAATAGTTTAAACTTCAACCTTGGCTGTTATCTCTGCCTCGTATCTTACGTGAACCTGGCATATGCGTTCTCACACCCATACTAATGGGAAAATATAACCTATGAAGTTATGAGATTTCAGGGTCGTCAGATCTACAGTAAAATCGCGCAATATATAAAAGAGGCTCATTCGTTGAGTTGAAATATATCATGTATCTTATTAACTGAAAACGTCCCTTGTGAATTTTCGTTTATCGTATATTTTCTCCCGTTTCACTTAAAATTCATAAAGACGATATTTTGTCAACAGTGCTTCATAACCGTGCATTGAGTGTTCTGTCACCTGTCCTTTACCACACTAGTACCTCTTAACACCTATAATCCCTAATACTTTTACTCTGTAACACACATAATCCCTAAACAAGTACTCTGTATGCACCTACAATTCTTAAAACATGTACTCGGTAGCACATAGACTACCTAACACCTGTACTTTGTTACACGCATATTACCAACACCTAAAACCCTAGATACAGTATCAAAGATAATTATACATTGCTGCACTTGTACTCAGTAACACATACTTTTTAGCCCATGTGTGTTTATCCCCACCTGTGATTTACCAGACTTATATACTTATATACCTACCAGCTGTACTTGACAGCATTTTGTAATCCAGAAAACCTGTATTTTATAATATTTGTAATGCCTAACATCTTATTCTGTAACACCTGTGAACCCTAAATACTTATTCTGTAACACCTGCACGCTATAAAATGATTAATCATGAACACCTGCATTCTGTAATATGTAATTTCCAACACCTTAACTCTTGAACACCTACACCCCTTAATAGCTATATTTCCCAACACTTGCACCCTACAACATCTATCAAGCCTAACACCTGTGCTGTACAACACCTGTTTAATACATACCGTAGCAGGAGAGGAACGGCAGCACCATTAACACCAGGTGGCAGGATTTCATCATCATAGTGCACCATTAACACCAGGTGGCAGGATTTCATCATCATAGTGTAGGGTTACCTGGAGAGAATTAGTACATGTGATTGACAATAGGCAGTGTGCTGGTAGAGTACGGGTGTGGAGTCAGAGCTGTTGGGTGAAGGAGATGGGAGAAGTTGTCGCTTCTTGTTGGGAAAGAGGAGGTGTCATATGCGTGGGTGTAGCCTTGCTTGCGTAGTGCGGACACGTCTCTACAACAGAGTGTAGGATATGCGTGGCCGTTTCGGGTACTAGTGTAGCCGCAACTGAGACTTTCTATACCGGTTGACGAGTAGACAATATCTGGGAGAGTTATTGTGTGTGTGTGTGTGGTCTAGATTTAGTAGATAGCCTCACTTAGCCTGGCAACGTGGTATTTGATGGCACCAGCTGGAGGATTCTCAGGGTGATAAATACTGCGTCGACACGTGATTAATTGTATAATCCTGTTGGGTTGATATTTTGTGGACTATTTTTAACATATGGAATTCTATTATCATTTTTAGCATTCTAATGTAGACAGATTTCACAATATGTCCAAATAATAACCTCTAAGAAAAGGGGAGTTTCTTCCTCTGTTTTATTATTAAGAGTGGCGGTAATGTCCACCAAATATTTGGCTAATCGAGTTCCCAATTCTAAGGCGGTTAACTCCAGTTGAGGTAATGTCAGCCTCTTTAGTGGGGCTACCCTTTTTTTAGCCATAATCAACTCACTATTGTGCTATGTCACTGAATAGGCGACTGCGCCATACGCCCTTGCAGACGCGTCACAGAATAGGTTGAGTTGAATTATATTATCTATCATTATTACTTGTTCTTGGGATGGTAACATTAGTGCTCATTCTACAGTCTTCTATTGTTTTTCCCCATTCCTGATTGCATCTTTCAGGTAGTAGGGTATCCCAATCCACCTTTTCCTTCGAAACTTCTTGTACCAACAACATTTTGCCTCTTATTGTTATAGGGCTCAAAATGCCCAATGGATCAAATAAGAGTGACACTTGACTTAGTAAGGATCTTCTAGTAAGTGGTACATCTGGGTAGGAAGGGGTTTTAATACCTAATTTGTCACCTTTAACATTCCAGCTCAGGCCTAACACGGGCTGATTTTCAGTTAATGCAAGATTAATTTCTTGTCTGATTATATTTCTCAATTGGTTGGAATTGGTATTCCAATCTTGAAGAAGCATATTAGCAGATTGACAACCTCTTTTGGCTAATCTGTATATGGCCACTGCCACTTCTTCTGTTTCCACTGTGATTTGTAAATTGTCCATATAGAATGATTTCACGATTTCTGGACATCCTGCTTTGTCACAATGACGTAGCAGTATGTTACACAGTAGGGAAGGGCTCGAGCATGATCCCAACAGGACTGACTTGAATTGGTAGACGTCCAAAGGACTGTCTTTATCATACGGATTCCGTGGCCAGAGGAATTTAGTGTATTTCCTAGCCACTTCTTTCTAAGAAATGCTTTGGAGATGTCAGCTACGAGACCATGTGGCTTCGTACGAAACATAATTAGAACATTTAATTTCTCGGTAATATTGGGACCTGTATAAAGACAAGCATTTAGGCTCGCGGCCTTCTTATTAGCTCAAGCACTACAATTAAATACCACTTTGATAGGTGTAGTGACCGAATCTTTCTTAACAGCATCGTGAGGCAGGTAGTGACCCTCCTTCGATCTTCTTTACCTGTTTGAGGAAGTTTTATAAAGATACACAAGTTGATTTTCTCTTTATTTTATGTCACATAGCAGAGCCACGCCTCTCAGTGTCCAGTGAGACGGTAGATAGTCTGTAGTTTCTAGGTCAATAGACCCGATGTAGGTAGCGTCGGTGCGTTTCGGCTTCCTGTACATGGGGCACTCATATAGGTTAGGGTCCTTCCCGCTGGTGGTGTTGACAGCGTACAGGTAAACCACAGGCATGGGCTCATACAACACCTGCACAAAAGGAACAACACATAAGTTAGCAATCAATCCAACCCATTTTTAAGAACGTGAATGAAATACATCTCTAAGTCGTCTCAATGGGCAATTCCGGCGAAACAATGAACTATATTAATGGTTTAAGATCACTATTATGCTCAAACTTGGCAAAAGTAGCCTAACCTCACATTGGTAGATGTGTTGGGTGAAGCGCCAATGCGACCAAACATCTGTCCACAACCATCTGAAGACTGTTGAGTATGCTAGAGCGCAGGGAGTGACATCCTCAAAGCAGCAAAACATAAGAGAGCAGATAGACAGTACTCACCTTTGGCCGTGACTCCATAAGTCGGCCCTGTTTGCGATCCCAGGAGGCTCCCTCGAGGAAGAGCCCATAGATGTAGACCCCCTCAGGTGGGGGGTCGTGAATGTCCTCCCTATTGAAACGAGTCACCAAGTTCTGCAGAATGACGCAGTCCAGCGACCATCCCTTATGCTGTCGCGTCACTTCCTGTGGTGTACAACATGCAGCTCTGTGTCTGATCTCCTTGGTGAACTCTGACTTACCAATATGTGCTATATGTTTTAGAAGGCTAGCTAATACAAATAATATCAATAGTACTGCAATTACCTTCCCCATTAATACTATTACAAGTGCCAGAGTTAACCCTTGGGCTTCGGGTCACGTCACCTGACGTGCGTCTGTAGGGCTTCGGATTACGTCACTTGACGATTTGTGATTTCGTTGGCTTATTTAAATAAGAAACGTGCCAAACTAACTCAGGATTATGGGATAAACCCTCCTCTCCCGTTGGCAACATGCGGACGTCCATGTTACCAGTTACCACCCACAATGCCTCAGTACATGTTATGTCACAAGATGGAGAGGTCAAGTGAATGTTGCTCTCCACAACACAGCACCTCCACCAACCCAGCACCTCCACCCTGAGGAAATATAGTGCTAAAAGTCTTACTGAGGAAGAGTGGCAACAAGATCTAATTGATCTTAGTGGTAAACTCTTTAGTGAAAGTGAGTTGGAACTCAGAGACGACCTGTGGGAGAAGGAGGTGTGGGTGACACTCCCTTACCACTAGTCGGCAGCATGGATACATTTGCAAGGAGTGAAGGTGCAAATTTTTAACCTAATATCCCTATTTTTGACTGGAGTGGTGTTGTGATTACTAATAATTTCATTGTGGATGATGATGCTTGTGAACTGGATTACTTCCAGATGTTTTTTGACAGTGAAGTGATGAAACTTATTCGTGATCAGGCACAGAAATATTATGAATACTGTCAAGGCAATACTGACTCTGGTCCCACTCCTTCAAAAATGCAATGCTGGACTGCTCTTGATGTTTCTGAATTTTATGTCATCTTTGCTTTGCTAAAGTTAATGGCGCACATAAAGAAACATGTCATATAGGAATATTGGATACAAGACTTCCTCACAGCAACGCCTATTTTTGGAGAATACGTGACCAGAGATAGATTTATTTCATTATTATGGTATCTACATTTTGCAGACAACAACCATCCTGTGGCAGATGACAGACTGGAAAATTCGTGAGATTTTTACTATGTTGAAAAATGAATTTCGTAATTTCTTTCGACCTTTCCAAAAAGTGATGAGAGAGGCGTTGCTTGTGATGTTCTGTGGCCGTATAGTGTTCCGCCAATATATACCTTCCAAGAGACATTGGTTTGGTAAAAATATTTGGTGTTGTGTAACTTTGAAATAGGATATGTCTTTGACCTGATAGTGTACACGGCGAGTGATGTAGACATACCCAAAAATGACTTGCATGGCTTCTCAGCTTCACTGGTGAAACAGCTCATGGACTGCTATCTAAATGCCAATCATGTGCTGTACACAGACAATTACCTACTGGAACATTTCAAAGGGTCATGTGGTACAGTGCGTGTAAACCGGACAAACTGGCCTCACTTTTAAGGAAGTCTCAAGTGTGATGAAATACAGATGCAACAAGCAAACAACGTGTTGGCAATCAGATGGCATGATAAGTGTGATGTGAATATCCTAACAATTCATAAAGGAGAACTGGTGGACAGCGGCAAGAAAGACACAAAAACAATAGAATACATCACTAAGCTTGATGCTGTAGTTGACTACACATACAACATGCATTTGGTCGACACAGTGATTTGCAAGTTGGGGCTACTGTATGTGTAAATGTGTCAAGTGGTACCATAAGATGTTTTACACTTGACTGAAACTGTCCCCAATGCATTCAACCTCTGAGAGTGTTCAACAAAAGAATTATTGAACAAATCTTCGAAAGAACCCGGCAAGGTGATGGCATCAACACCAAGGCGCCATTCAGCTACTGATCGGCTGCTTAGACGTGATTACATAGACAGGCATTTTCTACAAGTTTTGCCAGAGCCTGGTGGTAAAGTCAGAGAGCCTGTCATCTGTGCAGAAACACTACCACTCGTGGCAGCAAGCGAAAGGGTGTCAGCACCTGGTGCAATGAGTGTTTGCCATGGTTCAAGGACTACCATATTCAGAAAACCTATTAGTGGTCGTAAAATGATGAGTACATTGTGTAAATAAACAATAACAAATAAGTAACAGGAACTCAAGCTGCCTACAGACACTGAGTAAATAGTGATACCACTCGCTCTGCCACACCGCCACCCATCACCAACCCACGTCTCCCCACGTCACACTTGCCACGATGCCAACTAAAGATAAGTACATGCATTTTGTACCTATTTGTACCATTTACGATGGATTTGTAAGAAAAAAGTAAAAGTTTATTATTTTCATTTGAGCCGAAATATGCCCACGTGTGGTGAGTCGAGACCTATGTAGCCAGCAGCCCAGGGACTAATGATAATTAATACACACCCGCATGCACACACACACAAGAACACAAGAATGGAGAAACTGCAGGGGCCTGGCAGCCCATACTGGGCAGTCCCGTTTACACCAACCCCTATTGCTCATATGAGCATCCAACCTATGTTTGAAGCAATTCAGCGTATTCGAGTTAATGATGATATTTGGTAACTTGTTCCATTCATCCACTACTCTGTTTCCAAACCAGTGTTTACCTATTTCACGCCTAAATCTAAATTTGTCTAATTTAAAACCATTGTTACGAGTTCGCTCCTGGTTGGATAGTTTGATTACCTTTGTAATGTCCCCTTTGTTTAGCCCTGCCTTCCACTTATACACCTCTATCAGGTCGCCCCTCGCTCTACGTCTCTCAAGGGAGTGCAAATTAAGATGCTTTAACCTGTCTCTATACTCAAGGTTCCTAATGCCGGGGATTAGTCTTGTCATTCTCCTCTGAATTCTTTCCAAGGATTCTATATCCATTCTGTAATACGGTGACTAGAACTGAACTTTCGTAATCAGGTGTGGTCTGAAACAAGATACAGTTTGGATAGCCTCGCTAGTCTTGTAACTAACACTCAATTGTATGAACCCAAGTACTTTATTAGCCTTGTTGAGCAAAGACATTGTTTACTTGGCAAGGTTCCTACTTATCATTACTCGTTCTCTCGCGTCGGATTTCTCTATGGCATACGTTGTTCATCTGTTATCTGGTTTCCTGTTTATCTCCTATGCAGTACTTTACATTTGTCGTTGAATTTCATCTGCCATTTTTCAGACCATTCGAAAAATTTGTTTAGATCTTCCTGTAGTTTTGCTGAGTCCTCGTCAGATTTAATAACACGTCCTATTTTAGTGTCATCAGCAAATTTACTTATGTTGCTGTCTATGCTGATATCTATGTCGTTTATGTATATAATTAATAATGGTCCAAGTACTGAGCCTTGGGGAACTCCACTTGTGACGTTGCTCCAATGGGACTTAGTGCCGTTCATGCTCACTCGCTGTTTCCTGTCCTGTAACCACGCCCTAATCCATTTAAGGATGTTACCTTTGATGCCATGTGCTTCTACCTTTCTAATTAGTCTTTCGTGGGGGACTCTGTCGAAGGCTTTGCTAAATTCGAGATATACCACATCATAATTGTGCCCCTCGTCCACCGATTCGAAAATTGATGAAAAGAATATTAATAGATTAGTTAGACATGAATGCCCGCTTGTGAAGCCATGCTGGGAATCGTTGATCAATCGGTGCTTCTCCAGGTGATTTCGAAGAGAGTTTGAAATGATTGCTTCCAGTAATTTGCCTACTGATTGGGCGGTTGTTAGAGGATAGTGATCTATCCCCCTTCTTGAAAATCGGTATTACATTCGCTATCCTCCAGGATTCTGGTACTACACCTGTCTTTAAGGACATGTTAAACAACTTTGCTAA